GTGCCTGGAGCTAAGTAAAGGTGAAAATTTCACATTCACCTTGGTTTTTAATATACCATCAATTGACTTACCAACCTAAATCCTCTGCTCCTCTGCAGGAAGAGGTGGTAAACTAAGAGCAAGTCTCCATAAACCCATCTCTCTTTGGGTAAAATAGATGCCGGCCTATGGGTAGATCAATGATGGTATCTTCAGAAAGGAAGCTCTGATAGACAAATGCAGACATAATTATTTTTTATTATCTTTTTAATTTATCCTTTGACACATTCAGAAGATTATCTATGCCTTTTAAAACAAAATAATACAATCAGCACCTGTGAATCCACCACCCAACCCCAAAACTAAAACACTGCTGATAACTCCTATAAACCTGCAAGTCCTCTTACATTCCATTCCCTTGATTCTTCCCACTTAAGGTAACCATTATTCTAAATTTTATGTTTATCAACCTATTGTTTGTATGCCTATATGCACGATTGTATTACAAATGTATGTGTGCTTAATACATATATGACCTAAATGTAAACAGATATTTTTATACAACAAAAAGCAAACATTTGCTACAGCATATGAGAAACATACAGCTATTGCCTAGATCACATGCTTTACCTGGGCACACTATCCTCGAATTCTGGGGGTGGGGTGGGGTGGGGCGGGGAAATTAAGGCTTTTTGTCCATTCATGTACACTTTGGGAAGTGGAAGTGAAGAGATTCATCACAAATAGTTTTCATACAACACCGAGAGGATAGGCAGGGAGAAAAGGGCTGTAGAAGCACTCTGAAAGTGCTGGGGAATGGAAAATCAGCGACTCTGCCATCAGAGCAAACTTGGAGCTTAACACTGGATTCTCCTTATTGCTACACTTACTACTAAATGGTGAATAGAAAATTTCTAAAAATAAAAATTTTTCTGTTTTTAGTCTCTGAATTGAAAATATTTCTGTTTTCCTCTCCTTTCAAGATTTATTTTCATTATAAATGATCTGGGATACTTTCTTTATAGAAAAATACTACATGATTATGAACTTTTACTTTTAAAGGAAGGAAGGGAAAAAAAGAGGGAGGCAGAGAGGGAGGGAGGGAGGGAGGGAGGAAAGGAGCAGAGAAGATTTCTGACTGGAAAGGGTTTACTTTTCAGTTCCTTTCATATTTGTTTATAATAAGACTCAATATCATAAAAATGTAAATTCTCTTCATTTGATCTGTAAATTCAATGAGATTCCAGAGTAGCAGTAGATTTCATTTAAATACTTGATTCTGAAATGTTTATGACTGAGTAAATGCCCAACATTAGCAAAACCATTTCTGAAGAATAAGACGGGAGGACTTACTCTACCAGAGTTCAAGACACATATAAAACAATGGTAATTAAAATAGTGTGGTATTGGTATAGGACAGAAAATGGGATATAATAGAGAGCCCAGAAACAAACCCATGAATATATGGAAGTTTGATACATGATGCAGAGGGCACTGCAGATCACTAAAGAAAAGAGAGACTACTTAATAAATGATGCTGGTATAATTGACTATTTGGAAAATATGAGATTAGGTATGGAAAAATGTGAGATTAGATACTTATATCATACCTCAGATCAATTCTAGATTGATTAAAGACTTAACTAAAAAAAATTAAAAGTTTTAAAAGAAAATATAAAATATCTTTATGAACTAGATATGAGGAAGGACTTCTTAACATACAAAAAGAGCTAAATATCGTATGCCCACTAGATTTGAAAAAATTAAGAAGTGTAAAAATAACAGGTGTTGGCAAGGATATGGATCAAAGGGAATGTATACAGTCGCTGCTTGAAGGAAGTATAAGTTGGAATAATTGGAATCACTTTGGAAAACAATGGCATTATCCTGTAAAGTTGAATATTTGTATACCTGTTAGGACACAGCAATTCCACTCTTAGGTATTACTCTAGCACTGTGTTTTTCTAACTTTACTGAGCTGCAGCATCAGGTGGAGAGCCATGCAATTTGGCTCCCACCTCTGGAAATTCTGGTTTAAGAGGTCTGGGATAAAGTCTGTAAATTTGCATTTTTAAGAAGTACACAAATGATGAGACTGCTGCTGGTTTCCAGGCAGTTGCAGTAGCGCTTCTCCAGATTTCTTCACCTTTGTCTTGGGAAACAGGAATGAGAATGTTGAAAGCCATATTGTTCATAATAGCAAAAATCATAAGTTACATATATTCTCCTGTATATGGAAAACATATACATAGTACACTTAAAAAGGAAAAAAAATTAAATGGGTACCAAGCAGGTACACTAAATGAGACAGGAAAAAATTAGAAGGACACTAAAATTGTAATAACTAAAATACTCTTTGGACATAGTAAATGACAGAAATGATCCTGGAGAAAATTGATATGTAATGTGCAGGACAAACTAGAGACATCCTCTTGCAGAGAGAAAACAAAAAAAAGATTAAAAAATCGTGAAAAAAGATATGATAAATGTGCAGAATTGAGGATAGAGATCTAACAGTCTCCTGAAACAGAGATTGGAGCAAACAGAAAGAAATAAGATTAAAGTTATATTTAAAGAACATTCTCACAGGTTGAAGAAAGACCTTAGTATTTCTCATCAAAAACACTCCCAAATGCTAGCAAATTAATGCAGAAGCCCACATTGATGCATTCCTGGTAAAAGTTCAAATATCAAGAATAAAACGTGACTCTTACAAGCATTCTGCCAGAATACAAAAGATAGAAAATAAACAGACTAACCAAACATAGAGTAAAATTCATGCTAGCCTCAAACTTCTCTGGAAAAATAAACACTACAAAAAGAGTGATTTTAAAGTTTATTTGGGAAAATAAATGAATATGACTACAGAAACTTTGAACAAAGAAAGAAAAATTATAATGAAATAGATTTGAACCCATAGATATTAAAATGTAAATTATAATCATTAAAATGATGTGAAACTGATAAAGAAATGGAGAGTTCATTAAAAGAGAATAGTAAATCTAGACACAGAATTATATATAACATTTCTTATCAATATATCATGATACACGTCATAAAATATATATTCATGTATTTACATATACTTAATATGTATTATATATTATATGATATACATTTATATATAATGTATATGTAAATATATTAAAATGTATGGTATGCAATTATATAATATTAATATATAATAATTCTAGATAACGTAATGTATAATACCATTTATATTTATATATTAACATATATTTAAAACTTAATATGTGATAAAGATGTGCCTAGGAGCAGGTTATTCACTATATGATGGTACAACAACCAGTAGATTTTTCAGAAAATAATAAAGCTGGTATCATAAACCAAAATATTTTTCAGTAAACTAAAGAGTTAAATTTTTAAATGATAATATAAAAAGAACCAGAATAAGTGAAGATTTATCTGAACCTGTGCGAGGAAGTACTTTCTAAGAATAAAAGAAGAAGAAGAAATCAAGAGAAAAAGATTGACATATGTTCCTATAAAATTTTTTTAAATTCTCCATGTCAAAAAAAAATCATAAAAAGCAATAAAAGGCAAACTACAAACTTGGACAGAATATTTGCTTCATATAAATTCTAACGATTCTTACCACTAATACTAAAACATATGTTACAGTAAGAAATGTTACTTAAGGAAATCAGTAAGAAAAAGGTAGACATCCCATTGGAAATATGGGTGATTGTGATAAACACATCACAAAGTAATATTCAAAGACACAGAAATTGTAATAAATAAGAGAAAATTCAACCGACGAAATGTTTTTCATCTATTCGATTGAGAATGATGAAATATTTTCCATTTTAAATATCATGAGACGATATTTAACAGCCATCCTCTAAGGCCACTTAAAGTTAATTAAGGTAAACGGTCTAGCAAGGTTTAGAGCTCATGTCTCAGGGCAGATATGGAGCTATTCTGGTGACAAAGGGGCTTTGAGACTTTGTTCTGATTTATGCAACTCGCCAGACATTCTTAAGCAGTTGACATTATAGATGGCCACATAAGAAAAAAATAGCAATTACTAAGAGGCTTCTGCCTCAAAACATGAAGGCTGAGAAGACATAGCTGATGTCCTTAAGACCTTGAATAGCAGGCACTGAATAGTATGTTCACTGAATTCCAGAACTGGAGGTCAGGGGGTTCCTAGACAAACTAGGAAGCCCTGTGTAACATAGTGAGTTATAAACATTGAAGACGTTACCCCGTAATAGTTGATAAGAGCTTACGCTATACAAATGCAAATTTTATTTTGCATCAAATACAAAGACAAAATATGACAATAGCAAATACAATACAAATTAAGGTGACGGTGAAGAAGCTTTCATAAGTCCAAATACATATGTGGGTTACAGACTAAATGTTATTCAGTTCCAAACTGACCCTTGAAAAGTTAAAAGCATCACATTCTTTATAGTTTAGAATTATTCTTTTTCTTTTAGAATTATTGAGGATGACCCAGCATTAGCACCATGGTTTGCAAACATTCTTTTGCTTGTGTTTCTGACTCTGGAACCCTGCCTCTAGAAACTTTTATCTCCCTCGCACTAGTTGTCTTCAGTGACATCATTTGGAGGATGACAGTTTGGATTCTAATATTGGTGGCAATCCTAAAGACTGGAAACTTTCCGTTTTACAAGTAAACAGAAACCATAAACTAGTATGAAATTACGGTCATAGAAAAAGAAAGTTGAAAATATAAGGCCCAACTGTTATTTTGTATGTAAAAAGCTTTCATTCATTCATTTGTATGCCTTTCTGGGTCTTCTCACTTACATCTGGTCAGTTGAAAAGGCCACTGTGGACAGTGCTGGCTTCACTATCAACCCAGGGTGAACACTTCATTGGGGTGAGCATGCTTACTGGGTTAGAGTCACATTGGTCCAAATTCACTGTACTCCTGCTAAGAAATACTTTCTGGCCTGTGTGTTTGTCATGTGTACTCAGAACACCTGACCGTGCGTCCTTTCCTAACTTTGCCTCTTTATTCTCCTCAGGACTACTGGCTCTCTCTCCTTTACAAGCGCCTGGTCGGCCCCAAAGTCTTGGCCGTGCACGTGGCTGGGCTCCAGCGGAAGCCACGGCCAGGTCGAGTGATCCGGGACAAACTAAGGATTTATGCTCACTGCACAAGCCACCACAAGTAAGTCTTCGCAGAGATGGCCCAGAAAGCCACTCTATGGGCTTCAGGCTTTCTGCCCCTCTTAGAATTCCGTGTCATTTGGGACTCCTTCAAGACTTACTGAAAACTGCCTCTGGAATCACTCACTCTACCTGCTCTTCTCGGGTTTCAAACACTCTCTGATAAATAGCTTTTTCTCCAAGTAAACTCCTTTCTCACACTTAGAGGATTTATTCATAAAAGGTTCATTAAAATACATGCCATTTGTTCATTTACTTCTTCATTCAAAAAATTTTTATTGAGTATTTTCTCTGTGCCAGTTGATGTAATGCCCAAGAGGCTTTTTTGTGTGACTCTGGCTGAACCAAGGCAAGAGATATAAAATCCGTTTCTATGATCCACCAGTGGAGCCCGAGGAAATAAGTCAGCATTTCCAAGACACATGCTGGAGAGCTATACCACTAGGAACTTAGCCCCAGAGCAGTATGTCCCAAACTAGCATGAAAGGAGTACCCCAAGATAGTCATGCCAGCTTTGGAGACATTTTCAATATTTCAAAAATCTTTTCAGCTATTTTCAGGGTTAAGAAAAATAAAATTTAGGCTTCCTGTTTTAGAAAGCTGGACCTTCAAAAACTCAGCATGGTAATGTGTGGTTATCCTACTCTTTTTGATCTGAAGCACTGGTTGTCATTAGAGTTGTCTTTAAAACAAACAGGAAAAATAATTATCAGTGAATAAAGTTTAGCAGATAAACATTTTAAAACGTGAGGAGCATAAGGTAAAAACTTGAAACTGAGCCTAAAGCAAAATCCCTCAGACCAGATATGGCCTTCTTACATCATTTCCTGTTTAAGGAGCAGAGTGGGCAGCCCTTTGGGGGAGGGCGGGGATTCTTTCTCTTAATGCAAAGAAACCCCCGGGGCGGCAGGGCGGGGCAGGGGGGAGGTTTGAGGCAGAGAGGAGGGGTCAGCAAGTGCCTCCAGCCAGATCTTCATTCCAGCTATCAAGGCTGATCATGGGCAGTGGATAGCACAAAGAGCCCCAGTGGTCAAGTTACAACAGACGCTCCTTCCCCTTCCTTGATGAGAGAGGAGCCAAGCCAATTAATTTATCATGATAAGATTTTTCAAAGAATCACTCTGAGAATAGGAGGCCAGGGGCCAGTTGTCTTGTCTGTAGATACAAGTACCTATTGTGGATGAGAGGAGGCTGGTCTGGGCAGAGGCCAGAGGTTTTCAACGTCCCTTTTGCTCAACAGGAAGTTCAATCCAATACCTGACAGAGAGTGACTCTTTACAGCCTTGGCCTGGAGTTATCTGATCGCCACACAAGGAAACATTGTAATCCTTGTCTCTGCCCTGGCCCTGAGGTAACCACCCGAAAGGTGGACTCCCAGCTTTAAGAGAGAAAAATTATTCTTGGCACCTTTTGTCTCTTTTGGGAGGCGTATCAGTTTGTGGCCTTTATAGTATCCATGTGAGGACTCGGAAAAAATGTCAGATTCAATATTTTCTCTTCATCACCACTCTCCTCTGCTTTCTGTTGGTATCACTCCAGAACCTCTCTGGGGATATGGTGCCACTGTGCTGCTGTCAGTACTGTTTTTCCTTCTCCCATTAGAAAAAAAAAAAAAAAAGACTTTACTAAACCCATTCCACACATGGATGGCCCTAATGATAATTACTGGGGTGAAGTTCTTTTCGTTCCTATTAGAAAAGAAAGCCCTCAAAGATGCATTGCAGTGGCTGAGATTGCAGGTCTTCTCCATATCAGTGGGTGTCAGGTACCCCAGACAGGTAGGCACAAGGAGAGTACTGTCTCTGCTCTGTCTCTCTGGGAAGCCATGTGCCCTGCCTGTGCCCCCTCATCCAACAGTCACGAGGAAGCATTATTGATTCACTTAATTTATTTGTGGCCAATGAGGCTAAGGTCACAGAAATATCCCAGGTGGGCATGTTGGCTTAATCCTATTCAGTCTTGACCAATACTCCAAAAATATAGACTCTTGATCAAATCACAGATTAGGTGAGAAAATATAAACTTACCAGTAAAACAACCCAAAGGAAGTGTCTGTTAACATGACTCCTCCACTCCAGCTTGTATGGAACACTTGCTATGTGCCAAGCACCTTACCAGTCATTTGCATTTATGTTGTGATATTGAATTCCAAAGGTTCTATGGTATCACCCCAATATGAAAATAACACCATTAATAATGCAAAGTTTTACATTTGGAAAGAAACCTTAGAGATCTTTTGGCCTAGTGTCCTAGACAACACAGAAATTCCTTCTACAATGTCCCTGACAGTTTTGCAATCTCTACTTGAATACCTCACTGTCTCTCATGGCAGTCTCTTGCATTGTGGGTCATTATGATTGATTTAGGAGAAAAAGTTAGATGCTCATACCAACACCAGCAGGTGCTTTTCTGCTTTCTGTTCTAGAGTTAATAAATTAGGACACTGGCAGCATGGCAGTTCTCACTTTAGGTCTTCTTGATCAGAGAACAAATACATTTTGACTGGGAAAAACCTTCTTTTTCTAAACCATTCTGCTGAAACAATGTATGTTTCTGGGGAGGAGCTGACATCCTTAGCCAAGTTCAGAACCAGTTGGAACCTGGTGGATATTGAAGCAAAATTGAGCCTTTTGGGGTTCAAGTTCATTTATTATTGGCAAAACATGACTTCCTGTTTTTCAGAAGAAGTTTTTTTTAAAGACTCATAAAAAAGGTTCCTGAGGCTTCTTGGACATCAAATGGCTCTTACAAAACAATATTTTGATGAGTTAAGTGTAAATGAATCAGAAACATGTGGATTAAATTTCCCTTAAAATACACAGGGGCTTTGAAATTAGGGGAAAAAATGTTTGGCAAAACAGGGTCTGACTTTTGCCGAACCAAAAAACTTTGAATTAGATTTGGAAACAATGGACCAACCCAGTTTTCAAGCACATTGACTTTCACTGAGAATGACTGTGGATTCCAAAGCATCGTCCTCCCTTCCCTTTCTTAGTCTCCCAGATTCACTGGAGACATTTTTAGAACAGTGACTGTTTTTTATCTGAAAGTCAAGATGCACCTCCCCACATGACATTCTCCACCTCTTACATCCCGATATTCCAATTCCAGCCTCCCTTCCCTGACTCACTTCCTCCTCCTCCCATGGCAACACAGAGAAGATGTCAGGCAGCAAAAGAACAGCCAGAAAGATGAACTCCAGAGACATGGATTCTCTGCGGGTGAAAAAGTCTTGCCATGAGTCAGACATGGAGCAAGACAGACATTCTACCAGACAAAAAGGGACATTCACTAAGAGAACCAAAATCCACCTGTACTAATTGCCTGCAGGCCATGCCTTCAGTCATCCCCCATCGTCTTAGTGAAAGAATACTCTTCCAAGATTAGTTTTCTGTGGGTAGAGAATATACATTCTTCAGGAATGGATTCTCAACACAGCACTTTCAGGTTGGTGCTGGATTCCCCAACCATGAAGACGTCTTCACAGCCAAAAGGCCTCTGCTTAATGCCCTGGCCCATCAGCCAAGCAGGGAAAGGGGTGGCTGGGGCAGTCTTCAGTGCCAGTTCATACCAGTTCCAGGAGTTCCGTGAGAGCCTTGCGTGTTGGTCTCTGGACCAGCTCTCAGTACTGGTTTGTCTCCCCCAGGGGAACTGTGTAAATGGAAATCAGACCATTGCCAAACAGCTTGAAGACAGCCTTCCCTGCAGCAATGCTGTAATTTCATGTCTCCCTCCCATCACCACTTCCCCACCTCCCACCCTTCTCCTCTGCGGTCTCTGAGGCCTCATTCTGCCCCAGCTCTGCAGAGGAGAAACTCATTAATGAAACACATGGCTTACTCTCCTCCACTGCTGGCCTTTGAGAAGGTTGTTTGATGGCAGTTAACAAAAGGGCTTACCACAGTTGGCAAGATGGATACCCACGCATACCTACCTTTGTTCACACTCTGAAGCCCAGAGTACCTGTAGTTAATGGTGTCGTCCTCAATTCTGCACACAGGTAAACTAAGCTTAAAGCCCATTGATGGAATAGAGTTGGTGTTCTTAAATGATGGTAAACACTGACACAGGCTAGCAGCATCCTTCTTTAGAGCTCTGGTGACACAAGTCTGCTCAAATAAATCGGCGTTCTCTTCCAACCTAATTCATTTGCCTCCAAAAGCTAGTTCACATGCTTCAGGGGATTGAGAAGAAGGACTGGAGGAGAAGGGACCAGAAAGAAGAGTCGTTTAATAATTTATCAGAATTTCAAAGCAGGCATCCAAAAAGCCTTGAACACAATAATGTACCCTCCTACACATGCAAGAAAAATCATCTGACACACAGCCAGTGGGATATACTTTGGTAATTCTTCTCATAATCTTAATGGATTGCTTTGGACAAGTGGTTCCCAACCCCAACTCATCTGCCAAATATCCCAGAAATTTTTTTAAAAAAAATACAGATCTCCAGGCCCAGATCACAAATGGATTGAATCAAAATCTCCAGAGATGAGCCCTGGAAACTTTATTATTAAAAACAAGCAAACAATCCAAGTTATACTGACCTGCCCTTGATCACTCAACTCTTAATTAGCACCTTTAGAAGCAGAGATGAGTGACCCGGAGGCTGAGGGATGCTGTTTCTGTAAGGAATGATATTTTCCTCTGGGCAAAGTTGATGCAGAGTTTCTCTGAACTCCCCTTTGAAGGCAGGACCAGGTCATTTTTTCTGTTTCCTCTCATTAACCCATCCAGATGGGGCCCTAAGGGACCCCTTAGAAACAGTCTTTTTTCCTACAAGAGAGAAGGAAATCATTATAGTTTTGTTGATTACATGCTAAAAGGCCATGTAGGCATATAGTTCTCCTAGGCTTCTGAATATCCTGTACTGGTTTAAAAGGATTCCAAAATGGTGAATAGTTTTATAACCTTGGGGTGGATAAAACAGCTAAAGCAAAAATCAAAAAGATTAGTAAATTTAACTACATGATAGTTTTAACTTTTATACATTAAAAACAATGTAAACAAACTGAATCAGTCAATGAAAACTGGGGGAAATTTTGCAAAATACATGCAAAGGGTCACTGTCTTTAATACATAAATAGTTTTCATAAATCAATAGAAAAATGGGAAAAAGACATGAACAGTCAATCTACAAAGGAAGAAATGAAATGGCAAACAGGCAAATGAAAATGCTGCCTCTCGGTATGAATTTTTAAAAAAGTACAAATTAATACAACGTTGAAATCTTATCATCATCTCTCAGGTGGAGAAAGTTTAATATCTAGTGTTCTTAAGACTATAAGGATGGGTGCTCTCATACATAACTAATTAGAGCAAATTGGTACAAGCTTTCTAAAGAGTTAATATCAATATGATCAAAATGTGTGAATCAGTCAGGAAGCATAAGGCTATGCTATGATACTGAAGGACCTCCAGATCTTCATGGCTATTAATAAGAAAATGCATTTCTCATTCACACTCTTCACCTGCCATGGCTCAGCGGGAGCTCTGCTCCATATCATCTTCATTCCAGGATGCGGGTCAATAGAGCAGCTCCCGTAATAGGGCAGCTTCTGCTTTCTGGCAGAAGAAGAGTCCTGGCAAAACATGGACTGGCTCTTAAAGCTTCTGCCCAGAGGTTTTAACATGTCCACCCGCATTTCATTGGCCAAAGCCAATCATGTGATCACTCTAGGGTTCAGTAAAACAGAGACACGAAATCTGCCACAGGGCACCACTGGGAATGAACTAGATTTGGTGAGGAATCATACAGTGATTCCTGACCTAATGTTTCTAATTCAAGGACTTTATCCATCAGAAATAATCACGATGTGCAAAAAGTTTATGAATGAAGTCCTCCACCGCATCATTTATAATGGCAAAAAATTGAAAACAACATAAGTTCCTAAAAGTAGGGCATTAGTTAAATAAATTGTTACATTTCTATGATTGAAGAATTTAGCATTCTTCTAATAAGTAGAAGAATATATAATAACATAATAACATGGGAACATGTTTAAGATGTTCATAAACTGAAAAAAACTGTGACAATGTGATCCCGATTATGTAAAAACTGGGAAATATATATATGTGTCACATACTCAGTAAAATGTGTCACATATCAGTAAATATATGTCAAGTTAATAAACTAAAATATACTAGAAGGATGCCCACCAAAATGTTATTATGTCTCAAGATACTTGGATCATGAGAATTTTATTTTTCTTCTTTGTGTTTCTCTACATTATTTCTTTTTCTTTTTTCTTTTCTTTCTTTTGTTTTTGCAACTGTATGTTTTACTTCCATACTCAGAAAAAAATAATATTTTGTTTTCTCAAACCATTGCAATATATTTCAACAAAAACAAAAGGAGTGTGGTGGGAAGCGGGCATCTTCTTTGCAGGAAACCACAGTAACAAGGTCTTCCTGTCTTTGAAGGTCTAGAGTGGCCATGAACCATAAAACAAGTGCCCTTTCTGTGGGTCGTCCTATTTCATGAGGTCTATGAATTATTTAGAAGAGTCTAACTGACCACTTTGTTTCCATCTTTCTCCTCTCTCTCTCTCTCTCTCTGGATCTCAGCCACAACTATGTTCGAGGGTCCATTACACTTTTTATCATCAACCTGCACCGATCAAGAAAGAAAATCAAATTGGCTGGGACTCTCAGGGACAAGCTCGTGCACCAGTATCTGCTGCAACCCTACGGACAGGAGGGTCTGAAGTCCAAGTAAGTGCTGATCTGGAAATAGCTTAGGTGCAAGAGCAGCAAGAGGTGAGTGGGAGGGAGCTGGAGTCGCCTCTTTGCAGAAGGCACCAAGGGCGCTGCTGATTTACTCAGGGGCTCAGTGGAATGGAATTGGGTGACTAATGACTCCTTTTAGGACGCTGGTCAAGAACCTCCCCATCTCTAGGCTGAATTCCTCAACTGTGAAGTCAAAGGGTGGACAAAGTATTTTTCAAGGAGGGCACTCCTGGATCTGGGCAAGACAATTTTCATTATGCAGAATGATCACATTTCAACCTATTTAGCATCCTTGGCCCCTGCCCACTAAATGCCAATAGCACCTTCTACTCATTTGACAACCCAAAACACTAATAGTGGAGAACCATGTCCCTTTTAGCTGTAACATCCTGTAATGCTATAACTCTCTATTTGTCATCATCTACAAACCTCATGGAGCTTAGAGGAAGAAGCACCGAACAAAGGGTCAGAAGTTCAGAGATCAAGAGTCAGTTCTGCCCCTAACGTTATATCTTAATTTCCTTATCTGAACACCAGAAGAGAAATTATATTCAGGGGGCTTTGTGGTCCCTTCAAACTCTATAAATATATGACTCCGTGATACTGCCTACCTCCTTCAGTCTCTACTAGAGACTGTTGGCAACACTGACCTTGACCAACAGAAAGCAGCTCCAGGACATGGTGAGAAGGGCCTGGTCAAGGGTAAAGCCACCCCAGCTTCCCACGTAAGGCCTCCCAGGAAGGGTATGGGATGTCATACAGACTGGGAGCACTCCCATTCCACTTTTAATGTTTACCAAGTTTAACAAAGCTGTAAACTTGGAGCAGGTGGCTTGCACTCCCACAGCTGCCCACAACTATTTGTGCTGTAATTGCTCACTGTTGCGCTGCAACCTTGGTGGCTTGCATTTGGCTTCCAACTGCATGTGCAATGGGAACGAAGCACAATCTGGGAAGTCACTTACTGAGTTTCTTTAGCCCACCCTAGATCTGTAGTTTCAGTCTTGGTTCACATTCTGGCTCTGTTTTCTGGCTGCATGTATATTACTTCTACTTTTCTTTCCTGTCAATCCTACCTATATCAGCAGAACTCTCTCGAGTGTTTTATCCTCTCTCTCTCAACTTCCCAGTAGTTTGTAACTGGTGTGCTGAGTTCCTGGTCTTCATCCTAGACAGGAGACTCTGTTCTGGTTTACTAAATAATCATATAACCTGGGTTAATCCTTTAATCCTAATCCCTGGGCCTCAATATCCTTATCTACAAAATTTAAGAGTTGCTGTATGTTTGGTAAGGTCCTTTCCAGATCAAAAATTCTCATCTTGGGTCTGATTTTCTGAGGACCATGAGTATGTTTCAGTCTCCCCCTGCCATTCAATAATGACCTGCAAAGTCATGTCTGGCACAGGGGCTGACTCTTGAGCAGCGATTGTGACAGCTCAGGGTCTCTGGAACCAAAGAGATCAGGAGCTGGGTCTTCCCAGTGTCAGGAAGACCATGTGTGCCACGTGGAAGGAACTAATTAAATGCCTAGTCTAACAAGCCGAGGTAGCATTCCCTGCTCTGCCACTTGCCGGCTGTGTGTCTTTAGGCAAGTTATATAATCTCTGTGAGCCTCAGTTTCCTCATCTGTAAAACCTCTCATGGGGAAAAGAGTAAATGAGGTTATCTATGTAAAGTTCCCAACACACAGTAAATACTCAATAAATGCCTCTTGCCTTCTTTTTCCTCAATTCCAGTCAGTTGGGGAAGAAGAGGGAAACAACTGTGCTGAGAACGTTCTTCAAAAGCAGAGTCTTCTCAGATTTTTTAGATAATGTGTCGATAAGACATTTGTTAAGATTATGATAAAAAGACATACGAATTGCATAAAAGCAAAACCCTGAAACATAAGGAGATGGTAGGCAGAAAGTGGCATCATTTTATGAGCTTGTTTCTCCACCAACCAAGAGCACAGGCCTCTAGCCCTGCTTACCCCGATTCTACATCTGTAACCCCAGGATTACTCCCTGATGTTTGAACCTGGCCACACCGTGGCCCCTGTTCTACCTATACCTGTCCTTAAGGGTAACTGAAATGACTCTCACTGATTACTGATATGCCGTATTTCCCCATCTTGTACCTCACCTTGTCACTATGTTACTGAGGAGTTGTGTTATGGCTTTGTTGAGAATGTCAGAGAGGGACAGGGAAAAAGAGAATTTCATTCCACAGGGGTCTTGAACTGCGGGTTGGTAATACCCACTCAGATCAGATAACAATGTCACACAATTGGAAGAAGAGGGAGCCGGAATCAGAAAGCCTGGACATGCATCTAGTTGCTACTACTTACCTGTGTGATCAAACCTCAGCCCCCTCACCTGTCTGAGAATCAAATTAGAGCATATGAATGAAATGAAGCCTGCTACAAATGAAAATTTCACACGCCCATGCATACACATACACATATAAGTATAAATGCAGACACCACATATGATGGTACATATATTATATTAAAGAGAGTTTGGGGTTGGAAGTTCACAGATTGAATTACAGTTCTAACCCTGCAACTACTTCACTGTGTGATTTTGGGCCCTTCGCTCACTTTTCTAAATCTGTTCCTCTCCTGTAAACTACTGCTAATTTAACAACTGTCCCATCCTAGACCTTGGTGGCGCTGACCGTGTGCTGTGCCCTCTTGGACTATGAGCTGCCAGACAGGGACTGTCATGTACGTGTTCAGTGCCACATCCAGCTCTCTGCTCAGTAAATACTAATAAGAGCAAGAGCCCTCAGTGGTTGTGGGACGGGGGTCTCACAGGAAGGGTGTGGTTTCAGTGCAGCAGACTCTGCAGGAAAAGATGAAAGGAAGTGCTAGGAAGTGATTTCAGCCTTTGGTGTCTCCTTCTCTCTTTTATAAGCCTCTGGGGCCAAACTCTGTGTTCTGTGTCTGCTAATTCCTAGCTGCAGCCTGAAGCCATATTAGCTCAGAGGAGGATGAAAAGCTCTGGGAGCAGGGGAACCTGTAATTGCTCCTGTCCGGAGGAAGCGGGAGGAGGATACAGAACAAGTCAGTGTACCATTCAAGCCGCGAGTTGGGTGTTTTGGCCTGGAGTTGCAGGAGGAGGGAGATGTCGGCAAATGTTTTTGATTTGTAGCGAACATGAAGTAATTCTCGTTCTCTTAGGATTGCCATCAGGGCTGGAAATAACTTGAGATCTCTGAAAAGGTATCTCCATGTGAACTCGGGGCTCAGGTATATCAGGTACTGCACAGGAAGCAACTTTGAGGACACTAATCAGGCATAGCCCAGGCTCCCAGGTCCACAACGAAGGTTCCTGTTTCTCGTCTCAATGAGTGAACCAGTCATAAGACCCACCACTCAGGTATCAACTCTTCATATAAGAGAGTTCTCCTTCTAGGAACCAGGCAAAAGGTGGGTGCCCTTTACCCTCCAAGATAGGAGAAGGGAAACTTTTAGAAAACTGCAGAGTGTGTAAGGGTGTTCTGTGTCTGGAATACTCTTTTCAAGGTTGGCTGAAGGAAACGGGGAGATTTAATTCAGAGAAAAAAAAAAAAGTAAGTCATGAGGACTTTCTTCAGATATTCAGAGGACTACTAAGTGAAAGAAAACAGATTTGGCCTAGAATCCTCTAAAATGACAGAAAACCAGGAAGTGCAATTTAAAAGAGAATGATTTCACCACAAAATGAGTTCATTTTCCAAAGGCTTGCCTGGTCTGACCAAGGACAGGATAGGCTTTCTCAGGAGGTAGCCTATTAATCAGAGAGTCAGCAGCCATGGCCATCTCTGAGGTGCTCTAAGATTCCTCACTCAGTGGGAGGTTGAGGTAAAAGATTACCGCTTCCTGGCAAACTCTAAAATTCTATCATTCTCTTCCTTTCCCTCCACCCCCCAAAAAAATTCCATGCTCACTGGCAAAGTAGCTTCTTCAAGCCACCGAAAGGCCACACAAAGAGACTGTGTTACAGGAGAGAGTGGTGGTGATATCAGACTAGTTTTTCTCCAAAAAACCTTTAGCTATATGTCCCTCTCTGTCATGTTCCCTAGTTTCTCACCTTTCTGTGAGGAAGACTGAGCATTCATACCCCAGACAATCATAGTTCCCCTTCTGGGTAGGTCAAAGAGCACCTTTGGGGGCTCCACCATCTACAAGGGAGAGAATTGCTTTGTGCTTTATACGATCACAAATCAATAAGCATTGTCTTCTTGGGAATCAGTTCTACCCCAGACATAAATATCTCCAATATCCTTCAAAAGAGAAGTAACGTGAAGTCAGGCCAAACAAGTCAACTTATATCAAACAGCAGGAGGACTCACTTTTGGGGGGAAACGTCAAACCAAGAGCAGGTGTTTGGTCAGATCCCAGTGTTCTTCCATATGTGTTTTGTTCAACTCCATTTGAATGGAAAACTATCCAAAAATTAGAAAAGAAGAAAAGAACTTTTGTCACCTTGGCTGTTCTATTCTGACACACTGACCTGGAGGAATCAGCAGATGCTAAGGATCCTGGAGTAGAATGACATTTCAAGGTGATCTGCCCTCAGACAGTCTATGGCTAGGACATCTGGACCAGAAGATGCTCTGTGTTTAAAGACTTCTGGGGATAGAGTGCCCACAATTTCAATCCTGTCTGAATTTTATAAGAACATTAAATTTTATAAGAACACTGGGGCCTGCTGTGCCTGTGGCTGGGCCTTTATAGATAATAAAGAGCTTTAATAGCCATGATCTCATTTACCCTTCTGAACAGCACCATGAAGCAAGTAGAACAATTCCTGCCTTTCTCCCATTTTAGAGCTGAAGAAACTGAATCTTAGAGCATTAAGTGACTTACTCAAGACTCACACAACTATTATGTGATAGAGCTAGATAATACCAAGCGTCCAGATCTCCTGACCCTGAATTCAGTGTGGTTCGTTCCACACTGTACTACCCGCCATGAGTCTGGTAATACAAAATTATAATGACACAATGACAAATATGC